GTACATGGAATGTCTTTCCATCTCCTTATGTCGTCATCCAATTCTCTCAGAAAGGCCTTGTAATTTTCATTATATAGGTCCTTCACTTCCTTAGTTAAATTTACCCCAAGGTATTTTATTCTTTTTGTTGTGATTGTGAATGGTATTGTATTCTTGAGTTCTTTTTCTGTTGGTTCATTACTGGAGTATAGAAATGCTACTGATTTATGCAAATTGATTTTATACCCTGCAACTTTGCTGTAGTTGTTGATTACTTCTAACAGTTTTCCAATGGATTCTTTGGGGTTTTCTATATATAAGATCATGTCGTCTGCAAACAGCGAAAGTTTCACTTCTTCCCTCCCTATTTGGATTCCTTTTATTGCTTTTTCTTGTCTGATTGCTCTGGCGAGGACCTCCAGTACTATGTTAAATAAGAGTGGTAATAGAGGGCATCCTTGTCTTGTTCCTGTTCTCAGGGGGATGGGGTTCAGTTTTTGCCCATTGAGTATGATGTTGGCTATGAGTGTGTCATATATGGCCTTTATTATGTTGAGGTAGTTTCCTTCTATGCCCATTTTGTTCAGAGTTTTTATCATAAATGGCTGTTGGATCTTGTCAAATGCCTTCTCTGCATCTATTGAGATGATCATGTGGTTTTTATTCCTCAATTTGTTGATGTGGTGTATCACGTTGATGTTGAACCATCCCTGTGTCCCTGGTATGAATCCCACCTGATCCTGATGTATGATTCTTTTGATGAATTGCTGAATTCTGGTTGCCAAAATTTTGTTTAGAATTTTTGCATCTATGTTCATCAGTGATATTGGCCTGTAGTTCTCTTTTTTCGTGGTGTCCTTGTCAGGTTTTGGGATCAGCGTGATGTTGGCCTCATAGAATGTGTTAGGAAGTGTTCCATCTTCCCTAATTTTTTGGAATAGCTTGGAAAGGATAGGTATTAACTCCTGTCTGAAAGTTTGGTAGAATTCCCCAGGAAAGCCATCTGGTCCTGGGGTTTTATTCTTTGGGATGTTTTTGATTGCTGTTTCAATCTCTTTCCTTGTGAATGGTCTGTTCCAATTGTCTGCCTCTTCTTGAGTGAGCTTTGGGAGATTGTAGGAGTCCAGGAACTTATCCATTTCCTCTAGGTTATCCATTCTGTTGGCATATAGTTTTTTGTAGTATTCTCTTATAATCTGCTGTATTTCTGCAGAGTCTGTTGTTATTTCTCCTCGCTCATTTCTGATTTTGTTTATTTGAGCTTTCTCCCTTTTTTTCTTTGTAAGTCTGGCTAGTGGTTTGTTCATTTTATTTATCTTCTCAAAAAACCAGCTCTTTGTCTCATTGATCCTTTCTACTGCCTTTTTCGTTTCAATAGTATTTATTTCTGCTCTGATTTTTATTATTTCTCTCCTTCTGCTGACTTTGGGTTTCATTTCTTCTTTTTTCTCTAGTTCAGTTAGGTGTGCTTTAAGGTTGCTTATTTGGGATTTTTCTTGTTTGTTAAGATGTGCCTGCATTGCGATGAATTTTCCTCTTAATACAGCTTTTGCTGTATCCCATATGAGTTGGTATGGCATGCTATCATTTTCATTTGTTTCCAGGTTTTTTTATTTCTTCTTTAATTTCTTCAATGATCCATTGCTTGTTCAGTAGTGTGTTGTTTAGTCTCCACATCTTTGTGCCTTTCTCAGCTTTTTTCTTGTAATTAATTTCTAGCCTTATAGCACTATGATCTGAGAAGATGCTTGTTATTATTTCAATTTTTTTAAATTTGTAGAGGCTTGTCTTGTTTCCCAACATATGGTCTATCCTAGAGAATCTTCCATGTGCACTTGAGAAGAATGTGTATTCAGCTCCTTCAGGGTGGAGTGATCTATATATGTCTATTAAGTCCAATTGTTTTAGTTTTTCATTCAGCTCCACTATTTCCTTGTTGATTTTCTGTCTGGATGATCTGTCCATTGATGTGAGTGGGGTGTTGAGGTCCCCTACTATTATTGTGTTGTTTTTAACATCTTCCTTTAGGTCTGTTAATAGTTGCTTTATGAATCTTGGTTCTCCTGTGTTGGGTGCATAGATATTTATAAGCGTTATTTCTTCTTGATGAAGTGTTCCTTTGATCATTATATATTGTCCCTCTGTGTCTCTCTTTACCTGTCTTATTTTGAAATCCACTTGGTCTGATATGAGAATTGCAACACCTGCCTTTTTTTCCTTGCTATTTGCTTGAAGTATTGTCCTCCACCCCTTCACCCTGAGTCTGTGTTTGTCCTTGGGGCTGAGGTGTGTTTCCTGGAGGCAACAAATTCTTGGATCTTGTTCTCTAATCCATTTTGCCACTCTGTGTCTTTTTATTGTAGAGTTCAATCCGTTCACATTAAGAGTGATTATTGATGCATGTGGACTTAATGCTGTCAATCTGTCACTCATTATCTTGTTTTCCTGTGTTTCTTTTCCTGTGTGCTTTAGACTACCCATTTAATACTGCAATTTCTTATGCTGGGTTTCTTAGATTTTTCCTTATCTATGATTTGTGACTCTGTTCTGTACTTTATTTTAGTGTCTACCTTGAAGTTTGTATTTAGAATCTTGTGTATAATATAGTCTATTCTCTGGTGGTCTCTTACTTACTCGACCAATACTGATTTAGACCCTTTGCTCTTCCCCTCCTAAATAATCATTTTCATCTTTTATTCCAACTTGTCTTATTAACTTGTAGTTAGAGTGCTAAGATCGACCTTGTTTTGGTAGTTTCCTTATTTTTACCCTAATGCTATAGTTGAATATTTGCTATCCTGTTCTGGTTCTATCCATCGGTCTCCCTAGTCTGTGGATTGTGTCCCCTCTCTCCCTTTTTTCTTTTTTCAAGTATGAGAGCCTTCTTGAGGATTTCTTGTAATGGAGGGCTTTTAGTTACAAATTCCCTTAACTTTTGTTTGTCTGGAAAAGATTTAATTTCTCCCTCATATCTGAAGGAAATTCTTGCTGGATAGAGTATTCTTGGCTGAAGGTTTTTATCCTTTAAAGCTTTGAATATATCACTCCATTCTCTCCTAGCTTGTAGGGTTTCTGTAGAGAAATCCGCTGACAGTCTGATAGGGGCTCCTTTATAGGTTATTCTCTTTTTTTTTCTTACTTCCCTGAGTATTCTTTCCTTATCATTCCTATGTGCCAACTTTACTATTATGTGCCTTGCGGTGGGTCTTTTTACATTGACAAATCTAGGAGATCTAAAACCGTCCTCTACACACATTTCTCTGTTGATCCCTAGATTTGGGAAGTTCTCTTCAATAATTTCGTTAAGCACATTTTCTGCTCCATTTTCCTTTTCCATATTCTCGGGAATTCCTATGATCCTTATGTTCTTACTCCTCATTGAATCCATTATCTCTCTGAGATTTTCCTCATTTTTTTTTTAATTCTTAGTTCTCTTTCTTCCTCTGTCTGGCGCCATTCAGCCTGTCTGTCCTCGATTATGCTGATTTACTCCTCTAGGTTGTCTACACGGGCATTCAGGGAATCCGTAGTCTGTTTTATCTGTTCCATTGTGTTTTTCATCTCAAGTAATTCTGTTTGATTCTTCTTTATGATTTCAATCTCTTTTGTGAAGTAACTCCAGAACTCGGCTTGTCTCTCTATCCTTCTCTCTACCTCATTGAGTTTTTTGATTATAGCTGTCTGAATTCATTATCACTTAGTTTACCTAATTCCAAGTCCTCAGGACTTAATTCTGTGTTTTTATTGTTTTCCTTCTGGTCTGAGGCTTTTATAAATTGCTGGATGGTAGAGGAGCGGTTTTTTCTCATGGTGGTAGAATTCAATTGCAGTTACAGTCTGTCGCCACTAGATGGGAGTCGAGAGGGGCGTGTTAGCTCTCCACCTTCGGGGCAAGATGGCCTAACCCACTGGCTTTGTTAGGGGGGAGGGGCTGTTACTCACATGCGCCGGTCTGGGTTCAGATCAGTTCTGTTCTCTGGTCTCCCAAGGCCCTTGATTTATAGGGTCCCCACGGACGGAAGATTTCCCCCGTCAGCGGGTCTCCACTGAATCAGCAGCAGGAGTACTGGATGATCCCCCGGTCGCACGGCCCCTCCCCCACTCCTTCCCGACCCACGCTGCAGCGATCGCAGACTCTAGGGGAGGGAGTGATGTTCTCTCCTACCGTTCCGGCGCCTCCGAAGGTGTAAGCAAGGTTATGATCTCAGCCTTCTTGGTATTGTAGGTCTCTAACGAGCTGGCATTATGTTTATTCTCTGAAATTCAGTTCTTCCAATCTTTTGTTGTATTTTGGAGGGGAGAGAATCCCGGGTCAGCTCACCCCACCATTTTGCTCTGCCGAGAAACCCATTTTCCAAATTCTTATATGTATAAATAGATACTAAGATTGGTGAACCAGAGTAACAATCTCATAAGTCAGTAATAGTAATAGCCATCTCTTACATAGATTCTGCTCAGTAAGTACTGTAGATATCAATTCTTTAAGCTTACAGTATATACACTTATTCATCTGCGACTAGTAATGTTCCTAGCACTTTGATCATTTTACCTCATTTAACCCTCACCATATCTGAGATCAAACATTATTATCCTCTTTTTTCATTGAGTAGACAAAGAGATGGTAGGTAGAGGATGAAGTGGACCCACAGCCACAGTCCAGCCTCAGAGTTTGGGCTCCTTACTTGGTGCCCCTAGAATATCCAAGAGGTTGGCTATTGGTGAGAAGCCAGACTTGTTCCTGTGATTTCACACAACCGCAGTCCCTCACAGCATAGTTTGATCCTACAGGCAAAGGGTGTTCAAACTTTCAGAATGGTATTTACCCACATTATGTTTCAGTTACTTTCTAAATCTTTCTTATATGGAATATACCTTCCCAAGTTTTTAGGATCCCAGTTGGATCCTTAAACAAGAGATGTTGATTCTACTCTGACTTCTACAACAAAATTTTCTAGAAATAAGAGATGTGATTTATCTTTTTTTTAATGATTTACTTTTTGTTTTTGCATGGGGGAGTGATTTTGCAAATTTCCACACTTGATAATAAACAATGTTATCTATCATCAGAAAATCTCATGACCTTGAACTACGGCAATCTTGCTATGAGTGAAGGATTCTATTCACCTACAGTTGCAAATTCTTAATTTTCTGGTAATACTGTTGAGTTACAGGTAACTTACAATTGCCAAATCTACATATCCCTGGAACCACTCCCTGGTAGCACAATTGGGTTGGCATGTACACTCACCCACACACACAGACACAGAAACACAAACTCACAAATCATTAATTTCTGTTGATCGTATCCCATGAACAATCTATTAATCCCAAAGCTCTCCTTGGTGATCTAGGTGAAATCTCATGGACAACACCATGTTGGTGGCCAACAACACCAAATGGTCAGATTTCATTCTGATGGGATTCTTCAGTGAATCCAAGCACCCAGTTCTGCTTTCTGTGGTCATTTTTGTGGTTTTCCTGATGACCTTGTTTGGAAACACCATCCTGATCCTTCTGGTATACTCTCAAGCCCACCTCCACACCCCCATGTACTTTTTCATCAGTCGACTGTCTCTCATGGACATGATGTACATTTCTGTCACCGTCCCCAAGATGCTGATGGACCAGGTCATGGGTGTGAATGAGATCTCAGCCCCTGAATGTGAGATGCAAATGTTTCTGTATCTGTCACTAGTAGGTTCAGAATGTTTCCTTCTAGCTGCCATGGCCTATGATCGCTATGTGGCCATCTGTCATCCACTCCATTATCCTATTCTCACGAACCACAGGGTATGTCTGCTTTTGGTGTCTTGCTGCTGGTTCCTAGGGTCAGTGGATGGCTTCATGCTCACACCTGTCACCATGACCTTCCCCTTCTGCAGGTCCCGGGAGATCCATCATTTCTTCTGTGAGGTCCCTGCTTTAATGAAGCTCTCCTGCTCAGATACCTCTCTCTATGAGATGCTCATGTACCTGTGCTGTGTACTCATGCTCCTCATCCCAGTGATAGTCATTTCAAGCTCCTATACTTTTATCCTCCTCACCATCCACAGGATGAACTCAGCAGAGGGGTGGAAGAAGGCCTTAACCACTTGTTCTTCACATATGATGGTGGTCACCCTCTTTTATGTGGCTCCGGTCTACACCTACATGTTCCCCAGCTCCTACCACACACCTGAGAAGGATATGGTTGTATCTGTATTTTTCACCATAATCACTCCTTTTCTAACCCTTTAATCTATAGTATTAGGAATAAGGATGTCATGGGAGCTCTAAAGAAAATGTTGAGTGTGGGAACTGTCTTTCAGGAAACTATCAAGTAGGAAATTTTGGTACTAATGGTTTATTTTCCTTCTCTCTACACATTAGAAGTTTAGGACCTTATGCCAATGTTGTTCCTCAGATTCTCACACAATGATGTGTTGTCCTATATTCATCCCTTTTGAAGGTATTGTTTTCTTATACTGGAAAGCTCTTCATTTTATACTCCTTCTGCATTTAAAATATTTATGCAATCACATCAATATTACATTTTCTGAAGTTGATAACTGCACTGTGACTCTATGGGAGACTATTCATATTCTTAGGAAATATATAATGAAAATATTTAGAGAAAAAATCATAAGGTGTGCAGCTGATGAGGTAAAGAGAGAAAAAGTGATGAAGTCAAAGGGTTATAATGTTAATAGGCGAATATAGCTAAAGGGTATATGAGCATTAATTGCATCATTATTATTCATGTTACTTTTCTGTAAATTTGAAATTAATGAAAAATAAAGAGTAAAGTATCAGACTTTCTCAGTTTCTTTGAGTTCCTACTTTCTGCTTGGTGGCAATTTAAATGATGTATCATAGAAATTATGCTCATTTTAATGTGGTTGATCATTACTGTGACAATCCTGTCATCTGCCCACATTTACTGAAGGCTGTGTTGTTCTTCATGGTCAAATCTTGAAGGCATCTAGTGAGTGTTTTACCTCTCTGAGATTGTTAGTAACTTGTGGTAGACTGAGTATCCAAGATCATATAAGTTACTGTGGGAAAAATATTAACCCCATGTGTAAGATGGATTTAGGGAAGTTTCCCTTCATGAGGTGGTATCTGAGATGATATTTCAAACACGTAACTTATTAAATAAGGGGAGGAAGAACATCAAACATTCAGTTCTTTATTTCTTCAGCCAACGTTTCTTATGCTATGTTATAATAAAAATAATAGTTCCTAGACAAATGAGTTTAAACTCATAATAAAGCATGGCTACTGTAGCCAAGGAACTTGAATTGTAGGCATGGTTTTTACAAATTGTTGTAGTAAAATAAATAGATTCTTTTGATGCTCATGTGGAAAGGGCACAGCTCATTAGGACACATCAGCGCTAGCTTTGAGATGCAAATTCAGCCAAACAAGGGGGCTGAGAGAAGACCCTGGAGATGAGTGTTGAATGGTGAAAAATATTGCTGTCAGATGAGTATACTAAGCTGGGCAGGGGGGTTGTGCTCAGGGAGATGATACCATGGAAAAGGTAGGGTATGAGCAAAGGTGAGATGTTTGACAAGCAACAGATGTAAGTGTTCCAATAGCACTTATTTCCAGCTTCAACGTATAGCCTAGTTTCCTGTCCTTTTGTGACCCAAGGTTTTACAAACAATAGTAAAATGTTCAGACATGCATTTGAGAAATGTTAAATTGTGGTAATCAATTGGGAAAGTCCAATACTGGAGATAAGGAGACCACATGAGTGAGAACAATAAACTGAAGGGTGTTGATCTAAGTGGAAAGGACCATGGCTTGACACCAGGAGGGACATGTGGCGGTATTTGTGGTCAGCTGTGCCTTGTTGAACCTGTTACATAAAACCACACACATTGCACGTCTACAAATTTCCGATTGGCTGTGTCAACTTGTGAATTATCAGGTGGTTTCAACAGTACAAATTCCCTTTACCTCTTGACATACTCAATTACTTCATGACCGTAAAATGAGGATGTTTCAGTATTTGGGGAAACAATTTTGGAAGACCAGTTTACGTTAATTTTGTTGCAGTCAGAATGAATAAAATTTGCACTCTCTAGCATTTAAAAGAAATGAGAAGTACCCCTCAATTTTCTGAGCTATGTTGATACACACATTTGATGATTCCACTTACAACACCCTAGACATGGGGAACAAAACAACAAAATGTGACCTGGAACCATATTCTTCCAAAGATGAAATTTTTGCTGTCTCAAGAAAAGACAAAAAAAAGATAAAAATGTTTTCAGAAGCATGACTTTTTAAAATAAATTGTTCAAAATACAATTTATTTAGACTTACTTTTTTCCCCAACCTACAGTGTATCTTCCATAGCTTCTACTAATAAGGATTTAAAAAACTGGGTAGCTTGGAAATTCTTATCAAAATTATATATAGTATATAATACTCAGAATTCCTAGACATGGAAGAACAATTTCCCAGTTCCAGAAAGAAAAGAATAAGATGAAGTGTTTCTGGTACTCAAGTGTACTTGCTGACAGTGGCAAACAAGGAGCTGTGCACTGAAGTAGTTTACAGTTTTCACATTTCAGAATGTGTTCATGTTTGTGCTCATGATGCCACCAGTATTTGGCCAGAGATCACTTACACCTCATAAAAAGAGGCTCTCAGGGTTTTTACATTCTCTAAAGGACATTAATAACTATGATTGGAATTCTTGCCAATTTTAGAAGTAAAGCAGCAAAGATTAGGTAGAGAAGCTTGCACTGTTTTCACAAGCATTTTACTTTTTAAAATTTGTTCAAAAGTTTGAAAAAATAGGAGACTCAAATTAATTTTTCTATGGATGTCTCAGGAATTGGGGCTTAATAAAATTAGGTGCATATAAAATCACATTTAACATAATTTTTATTGCCTGTCTTCCTTCTTTCCATACTCCCTCAGAATATTTACATTGACAACAAATGACACAAACAGCAGATATTGTCATCATTTTCCTGGTTTGCATGACACTATTCCCTTCCCACTCATTTACTTTACTCTTCTCAGGGCTGACCTCATGGGAATGTGGCCTGTGTGCTTGCATCGGGTCTCACACTCAGAAAGACACTGTGCTTGGTTTAATACTCTGTTGTTGAAATCTCAAAATTCTCAATAATTTTATCTCTGAGTATGCATGTGACCAGGGGAGCTAGGCTAGATGGCAGCATTAGAATGCAATTTTGGTCCAGCAATAGCACCTGCACTTGTGGGCTCAGGAAGCATGTACATGGAGCAATTGACCTGGCCTCCCCATGTGTACACACACATCTGTGTTCAAAGAATGACAGGATGCAAAGGGAGTGTCTGGGCTGGGACCTGGAACTAAGTGGGTGGTAGTGATGTCAACAGCAGCTGCAGATGGAGCATCAATGGTAGAAGTGGCCACTGCACAGAAGGGAGGAGGGTCTCTGCCTGCCAGGAACAATGACCCATAATGGGAACAGGGTCTGACTTATCCATCCATTCCAGAGACCATCCTTGTGTCATTAGCAAAATTATTAACTATCTCACCAGAGTTCCAGGACAGGGAATCCTAGGGAAATTAGGATGTAAACTTTGTCCTAAATTGTTTTAAATAAAAGTACACACATAGTCATTGCAATACAGCATTGGAAGTCATTGGAATTCATCAGCAACACTGCAAAGAAAATGTACACAGGCTTAGAACTTTAAATAAGATGTACAGATAATTTAAAAATTAATATGAAAGATAATCGATGGAAAAGAACACTCTTTTCGCATGAAGTTTAAAAAATAAATCATTAACCAAAGAGAAAAATAACATTATTTTAACATGTAATTGAAATACAATGATAAAATGAATAAACAAGCATTTGAAATATAAAACCATTTCCTGTGTCTTATACAAAGTCCACAAATTACCATAAATTTGAGAGGAATCATTAAAATGCCATGGATTAAATTTACACTTAAAATTAAACTCTAACTCAAGAAATTGATTTATACTGAAATTGATGGGTTGAAATCTACTCATAATAGAAATCTTTTCAGAAAAAAAAATTCTCCTTCCAGTTTTACATGTATTTACAAGCTAGTTTTGTCCAGATATGAGTGATTTTCTCCTGGTCTAGATTAATTTTACTACTTGAACCCTATGCATAAAATATTTTTACTTACTATATATGATTAGTGAACTTATAACCAGGTCCTGGGTACATAAGCAAAAAACTCTGTCTACATTTTCACAGTGCATATTCTTTGAATCACTCTTCCTAGGGCCCCCATCACCTCTTTGTTTCTCAGGCTGTAGATGATGGGCTTGAGCATTGGGGTCAGGATGGTATAGAAGACAGCCAGAATCTTGTCCTCCATTGGAGATTGGAGGGACCTTGGGCATAGATAATTGTAAACAAAGGGAGCATAATAGAACGTCACCACAGTCAGGTGGGTGTTTCAGGTGGAATAGATCTTCTTCCTCCCTTCTGCTGAGTGCATGAGGTGGACAGCAAGGAGAACGCAGCCATAGGAACATGTAATTCCAATAAAAGGAAACACAAGAAAGAGGGTGGTGCTTATAAACACTGTGTACTCTTAAACCCCGTTATCCATGGCAGCCCAGAGTCAACATGGCTGGGACATTACAGAAGAAATGGTCGATGGCCATGAATACACAGTAGGGGATATGGAAGACATACGTGGTGTGGGCACAGGAGTTGATAGAACCCATTATCCAAGATTCTATTATCATCACACACACTCTTTTGCTTATATGAATGGAATAATGGAGAGGAAAGCAAATAGCCACATAACGATTATAGGCCATAGATGTCAAGAGCAGTGCTTCTGCAATTGCTAAAGTCAAGAAGAGGAAGCTATGAATCCCACATCCAATGAAGGAGATAGACTTGTTTCCAAACAGAAAATTGGAAGCCACTTTGGGGACAATGGTGGAGATGTAGTTCAGGTCCATGAGGGAGAGCTGACTAATTAGGAAATACATAGGACTGTGGAGATGACTGTCTAGGAGGATGAGAAGGATCACAGACAAGTTGCCAAGCAGAACCATTAGGAAAATGAGAACAATGAGAATGAAGAGGACCAGGCCAGTTATTGATGATGGAAACAACCCCAATGAGATGAAATCAGTGGATGTTTGACTACAATTTTCCATGGGGCATTGATATGTTTTTTTCCTAGAGGGAAACACAAGAGTAAGTTAAATGTAAAACTATAAGCTATTGACTTTCTAACCTTAAAAAACT